AAATGAATAATAATTAATAAAAATGTTAATAATTTTAATTTTTTAGAAACGACAAACACGTTTATATGACAATGTAACAGTAAGGAAAACTAGACCATCACTTCGTGATTGCGATCTTAGATCTTTTTATGAAATGATAAAATCTGTACGAAGTTAGTAAAATATAAGAAATTTAATGTTTTTATAACATTTATAATTTATATTTATATATTTATATTTATATATAAAATATGTTTAGGTGAATTTCCATTTAATAATCCTAGTACAAATATTGGACATATAATCAGTCCAATGATGGAGAACTTATATCCTGAAGGCACAAGTATAAAATTAGTAGTACATCCACAATTAATAGATTCTGACGAAAATACTCCGTCCATTTCGTTTACGTGTGATGGTAAGCTTTTATATACAAAAATTTTATAACATAAAATCATTATAAATATTAAATAAATTTTAATAATTTAATGTATAATATACATTTTTTTTTTCAGTAAATTGTAGTGTTGAACATGTTATTCTTAATGTCGCTTGTTCCTTAGAAGATGAAGGCACAGTAAATATAGAAAAATATTGTTTGAGAGTATGGGGTTTAGCAGAATATTTTGCACCTAGTACAACTTTAGCGCAATACGAATATATACATCAATGTATCAAATTAGAAAAAGATATTGAATTAGCTATTTTAACTAAAGCACAAATAAAACGATCAATAGCACGAACAGTAAGTACACGCTTGAATATAAAAATATTTAATTCAATCACTATTGATATTACATTATTCAGTTTTCTTAAAAGCTACAAGATGATAATCGTGATCAATGTCTTAAACTAGAAGATATTCTTCCAAATGAACCGGTACAACCTATTTCATATGATACGCTTCTTATTTTGTTAGGTATCAAAACATTATTTTTATGGAATTATGTAAAAAAAGTAAATTAGAATAATTATAATAATTAATATTTTTATATATAAAAAATTATAGAAACTGTAGAAAAAGAAATGGAACGTATAGAAACTGCTGCTATACAATTAGCAACTACTAATCATGGATCCAGTCTTTTACCACAATTACAACCCCGTGGTGTTGTTCAAGCAATAAAAGCAGTGTGTGCATTAATGGGAAATATAGAAACATTTGAAATCACAGAAGCTGTTGATAATTTCGTAAACGCATGTTGTCAATTTTTACCTCAAGTTCATACAACAAATATAGAATGCAAAAAACCTGAAATTTTACACGAAGATGGAGATTATTCAGTAGTGACTTTAAGAACAAAATTTCCAGACGTTATTGCATCTCATTGTCGAAAAATTCGGAATGCAATTCAAGATCTTGTAGAAACTTATTGTCATGCATTTAAAGTTGATTTTGAATTAAATAGTAAGGGGGAAATTCCAACAAGTAAGAATATTAGATTATAAATTTATATTCAAATATAATAAATTATAATCAAACATAATAAAACAAAAAGAATTAATTCATATTATGTATTTTCAACAGATATATTAATCTCGTCTGAAGTATTAGATACTATTTTAGTTCGTGTTGGAGCATTGCACAGATTACCGGGATCATGGAAACATGATGATTATATCATTGCAGCTCAGATATTTCATGGAACAAGACCTGTTGGAACTCCTGTTTTATCTGAACCTATGGCAGTCAGTTCTAATTTTTATCCGAGAATTTTATTTAATGCATGGTAATGATTTTAAACATTATTTTAAATTTATTTAAAATTATTTTTTAAATTTATGAACATACAAATTATGTTTTTATGCATATAAAAGGCTAGAATTTCGCGGAATAAGTGTATGTCAAGTACCAAGGGAAGCTAGATTAGTATTGGTTTTGTATGGTCGCACATTGCAACCTACTGAACATGAATCTAATTCTTCAGCAGAAAATACCATGCAGAAAGAAGAATTAGGATGGGGAGCAATTCAGTTTTTTGATTATGAAGGTAATTAATAATATTATAAAAATAAAAAATATTTGATTATATCTTTTTTTCATTACAGAATTATGAGCCAAGGAAGCTTTTTTTTGTCACTTTGGCCAGCAATTGCTGATAAAAGATTAGGTCCTGCTCCAGCACCTGGAATTCATCCTCATGGAGATACTCATGCTATTATTGGTGTGGAATTACCTGATTATGGAGGAAAAGTATTATTCCCGACAGAATTACGTGATTATGATGTAGAATCTCTTGATTTTAATTCATTGGATCAGAATACACAAGAATTATTAATAGATATCACACAACAAACTACATTTTCAAAGTAAATTCTTAAATTTAAATATTGATTTGAATTTTAAATATTGATAACAAAGATTATTTATACATATATTTATTTTTTTTTCTTTATTAATTAAATAGACCACTTATTGAAGAAAGAGAAATTTTATGGGAAAAACGACATTATTTACATGATAAACCTGAAGCTTTACCTAAAGTACTTTTAGCTGCTCATAGTTGGGATTGGGCATGTTTACCTGATCTTCATGCATCTCTTAGAATTTGGAATCCTTTGCCTCCTGTTCAAGCTTTACAATTATTATTACCTTGGTAATTTGATATTCTAAATATATGAATCATTAATAATTATAATAATTATAAAATTATAAATCATCAATAATTATAATTAATCAAATATATTTTAGTTTTCCAGATATGAAAGTTAGAGAAATGGCAGTTGGATGGATTCGAGAATTGAGTAATGATGAACTTGTAGATTATTTACCACAATTATTACAAGCATTAAAGCATGAAACATATGAAACATCTCCACTTACAAAGTTTTTATTAGAACGAGCATTACTCTCTCCACGTGTAGCTCATCACATTTATTGGTTATTAACCCAAGCATTACCAGGACAAAGTCCTCAAGTATGTAATTTAAATTGAAGTGATTTTTTAATTTCTATTAATTTAAAAAATTAAAGAAATATATTTAGTATATTTTAACATATGTTATTTTTAGAATTCTGCTGAAACTACACCAGAAGACGATAAAAATATTAGTTCAGCACGTTATCATAGAAGGTTGCAATTAATGTTACGAGCATTACTGGCCGTTATAGGAGATGCATTAAGAAATAGTTTTCTTACACAACAATTACTTGTTAAAGTAAAATTTTTTAACAAAGTATTTATATTATATTTTTTTATAAAGTTGTAAATTAATACATTTCATATTATTACAGAACTTACACGAAGTAGCAGAAAATATTAAGCAGACAAAAGAATCATTACGTTTGGATACTCTTAAAGTTGGTTTACAAAATATACATTGTCAATTAATGGAAGATGATGGTACCTGTTTACCATTATCTCCTAGTAAACAAGTATTTGGTATAAATGTACAAAGTTGTTCGTATTTTCCATCGCTTACTCTTCCTTTGAAAATTAATTTCATTAGTTGTGATGATGTAATTTGTTCAGCGATTTTTAAAGTAAGTTTAATAAATATGTATTGCAATAATTTATTATAATTTTGTTCTATATAAAATTTTATAATTATTTAAATTATTAATGATTAATTTTATATCAAACTAATATATTTAAGGTTGGAGATGATTTACAGCAAGATATGTTAACTCTTCAAATGGTTCGTATTATGGATAAACTCTGGTTAAAAGAAGGTCTTGATCTCAAAATGGTAACATTTGCATGTGTACCTACTGGTCATAAACGTGGAATGATAGAAATGGTTACAAATGCAGAAACATTAAGGAAAATACAAGTTGAATTTGGTTTAACTGGATCATTTAAAGATCGTCCGATTGCTGAATGGTTGGCAAAGCATAATCCTTCAGAATTAGAATACGAACGAGCAGTTGAAAATTTCACAGCATCTTGTGCGGGTTATAGCGTTGCTACTTATATTTTAGGAATTTGCGATAGACATAATGATAATATTATGTTAAAAACATCAGGTCATTTATTTCATATTGATTTCGGAAAATTTTTGGGTGATGCACAAATGTTTGGAAACTTTAAAAGGTATATATATTTATATTCTTATATTCAATATCTGTAAAACTTTTTAATAATATTTTTCATATTTTTCATATTTTTAATTAGAGATAGAACGCCATTTGTATTAACATCTGATATGGCTTATGTTATAAATGGTGGAGATAAACCATCAGCTAAATTTCATCATTTCGTGGATTTATGTTGTCAAGCATTTAATGTAGTACGAAAACATGGAAATTTACTTCTCCATCTTTTTGGATTGGTATTTATTTTTGTATTAAATTATTTATATTAAAAGTCTTATATTGTTATAGTAAAAATTTGTATCGTAATATTATTTGAACGATAATCCATTCATATATTTCATATATTTATAATCCATATATTTATTCATTAAAAAATGATTTATTTTATAGACTTTATTTTATAAAATAATTATATTTAAAAAAATAAAAAAAAATTATTTTTAACTTGTTAATATCATAATTTAAATCTAATTTGTGTTATGAGAATAACAAAACCATAACGGAAGAACTTATCTAAGCCTTTTATCAGAAAGCGGTTCGCGTATCACGCTAAACTATATACAATGCAGTTAATTAGCATTTATCGTTAATGAATCGTCCTGCAATATCAAATAAGCAGCAGTGTGAAAAGTAAAGCAAACAAGTGAAAACTAATAGATTAATAATAAATAGTTGTTAATTTAATACAATTTTAAGAATTAATATTGATAAAGATGGATGGTTTATTGTCTCAAAAAAATATATATAATATGACTGATTTATATAAATTGCATATTATACAACAAAAGCTTAGTGACATTGAAATTAAAGAATTAGTAAATAAATCTAAAATGAATAATTATACAAATTCACAGATGACTTCATCTGGTATTTCTGGTGTGACTGTGGATGCAGTTAGTTATGTACAAAAAGCTCTTCTTCCAGAGCAAACAAATCCTGAAGCAGCTGCAACATTTGCTCGAATGATAGAAAGTTCACTCAAAAGTTGGTTTACACAATTTAATTTCTTTCTACATAATTTAGCACAACTTAGATTTTCAAATGATCATAATGATGGAACATTATTATCTTTTATACCTCGAACATATACGTAAGTTTAGTAATTTCTTCTTATAATTATATAAAAATTTGAAATTATTTATACATACGTTATTATAGAATGCAACAAGAAGGACAGTTAACAAGCGTTCAAGTACATGGATATCAAAAGCGATACGATCCTGAAAAATATTATATGTATATTTTGCGTATAGAACGGAAGGGTCATGCAGATCCTACTTATTTATTTCGATCATATAAAGAATTTTGTGAATTTTATCAAAAATTATGTATACATTTTCCTCTTGCAAAACTTGCTAGGTAAGTAAAAAATATATTATTTTATTCTTAACAATATAAGATTTTTTATTCTTAATAATTTAAATTTGTTTGTGTCTTTTAATTTTTTATAATAATTACATATATTATAAATGATTTTTTTATATCTATTGAATAAAATATAAATATAATATCATTTGATAATTTACCTTATTTTTATATTATTAAGATGAAGATTTATTTTGTTTGATATCAACATTAACAGATTTCTTAAAATTATTATTTATACTTTTTTGGGATTTATGCATAGCAGAATCAGTTTGTATTTTTCGATAAAATTCAAGCATAATTGATTTCTTAGATGAATTTTTTTGTACTGATATTTGAGCATGAAATGGTTTGTTACCCATTTTTAATTATTTCAAATTTCCTTTAAAAATCAATATAATTAAATCTCATATTTATTTAACATATTTAATTTGATAATAAAATACATACCTGTTTTATTTTTATTTAAATATTTTAAATCAACACTGCAATAATTATAAATATTAAATAACAATACGTTTTATTATTACTTTTGTTTGATTGATATTTTATATTATGATATCAAAAATTGTGATATATTATCTTATTTCATATTATCTAATCAGATCAAAATTTATGATACATTTTTTTTTTAAAGCTAAATTTAAACTTAGATTAATAATAAATTATAAGATAATAATAAGTTAAATTATATTTCTATTTTCAATAATTATTTTAAAAAATAATTTTATTTATAAAATAATGATATAAGTAATAATTTATTTTATGTAGCTTACCAAGTGGTATTAGTGTCGGAAGATCTAACATAAAACAAGTTGCTGATAAAAGACGAGCAGATATTGAGAAATTTCTTGTAAGTTTATTCAAAATGGCACCGGAAATTTCTCAGAGTGATTTAGTATATACTTTCTTTCATCCACTATTAAGAGATCAACAAAATGCTGATATTCATTTAAGCAAAGTAAAAGGTATATAAAATATTGATAAAGAAATTCTATAAAATTTATTATAAGCATTTTAATTGTCATTTTTTTCCTTTTTAATTAGTTGGTAATTGGTGGGCTGAAAAACGAGTAAGAGATAACGTACAAAGCGGACAAATTAAAATGTCTCTTCATTATACACGTGGAACATTTTATGTGATGGTTTATCATGCTAGAGGCTTGCCTAAAGTAGCTAATTGTCAAGAACCAAATACATATGTTAAAGTTTATCTTAAACCAGATCCTACAAAGAAGACAAAGCGAAAAACAAAGGTTGTAAAGAAAAATTGTCATCCCTCATTTATGGAAATGGTAATGAATTTAAGTAATTAAGTAAATAAATCAAATTTTTCAAATTTAATATATAAATAAACATATAATTTATAAATAATATATATTTATTTATTACAGCTAGAATATAGAATGGCTTTGGATGTTATTAAAGAAAGAACTCTGGAAGCTACAATATGGAATCACGATACTTTACAAGAAAACGAATTTCTTGGAGGAATACGTTTACCACTTAGACGTTTTGATTTAACAATTGAAACAATTGAATGGTTTTCACTTGGAAGTATTCGATGAATGAATTGTCACAAATTTAAGAAAAGATTTATTAATGTTTATGAATATTTGCTCTAAATAATACGCACAATACTAACTATAAAAATCTTTTTGAATTAAAATATGCACAACTATAATAGTGCAATAAGAAAAATAGAATGATTGACACGTGCTTTTAATATTTAGTGAAGATGCTTCTTAAAAAAAAGTTGTAACATTATACAATCTATCATAAAATTACATTCAAATAATGTATACATAAACAAAAGAGGCATATTTCATAAAATTATTCTACCTTTGCAAAAATTGCCAAAGTATGAAAAATAAATATCTCGTGTTTAACGAATCATAATATTGATAATTTTTAATTCGATTAATATAAATGTTTTAATAAAAACTGTAAAAAATTTTAAGTTTACAGTGCTAAATCTATTAATAGAATTTTATAAAAGATATTTCTACTATTTCTTCCGAAAGATAATCTCTAATATTATATAATATTAATATATAATATTAATAGATGTTAAAACTTTGCTATTCTATTCTATTATAGCAAAATAAATATAAGATTTCTTAAATATTTATATGAACAATATAGATCTTTATAAGTGCATAATAGAAATTTTATTCATAAGTTACTTGCTTATAATTATCTTAAACAAAAGGAAAACTTTTTTACTTTCATATAAAAATTTAAAATTATATATAAGAATAATCAAAATATGATTCTATCTATTAAAATAGAAAAATTTATATAAGAAAATTGCATATGTCAATATTTAATAGGAATTTTTTATTGCATGAAAAAGGAGAATGAAATTATGTAAATATGCTTTAAAATTTACAAATGTTTTTTATAATTATTTTATATACTGTAATATTTCATGGCGTTTTTTTCTTGATAAATAATATAGAGTATTATAATAAATCAGATATATGTTAATATATTATCAACAGGTAATTATTAAATTAAATTCTAACTTTATAACTAATGGTTTTTTTCAGTTTTTTCTTTTTCATCTTTAAAGATTTTATTATTTGACATATGTATTGCAAGAAATAGACTTTTATTATCATGATTTTATTATCTCATAAAACAATAATATTGCAAAGTTGAAACAATATACTTAATTTAGTCTCCTGTTGTTAATATATTAATATAATTAACTTTAACTTTAATTTTTATTATAAATATATATACAATTTAGTGAAATAATTTAATGGTACAAGTTGTATTATTTACAATTGCGTAACTTTTATATTATAATTCTAAGAAAGGAATTGCGCTAATAAATAAATGCTCAAGCTTATTGCTTTTGCATTACAAATGCTTTTGCATGTGCTTTCTACACTCTTTATATTGTGATATAAATTTTGATCATGTAAATTTTAATAACTTATTTATATTTTGGATTTATTTGTGATTTTTCAATTATTTGACATAAATATAGACAAAGATAATTTAAATGTATTTTGATTTATTAGATTTTAATAATTCTTTTTTTGTTTTCAATATTAATTGTTCTTAAATTCCATATTGAAAAAAAATATATATATATAGTAAATATTGATATTAAATATTGATATAGTAAATATTGATTTAAATTTTTGCTATTGTTTCATTTCTATTTACTCTAAATTTATACACAATAATAGTTCGAAGTATATATAAATAATGACAATAAATAAGAATATAATAATGTATTATTAAATAATTACTTATCTAATTACTTCATGATTGATTCGATTTAAAAAAAAATGCACGAACAAATTCAATTTAATATGAAATACATGAATAAATGGAACTTTACCGACGAAAGAAACATTTTTGCTATGCCAACAAAAGGAATCCTATACCTGAGTCGGTAGCACGTAAAGTAAGGGCGCACATTACTGTAAAAGGATTTCAGATACATACGTAGAGAGAACGTTTTATTACAGTTTTCATCCGCAGATTAGCCCCTTTGGAACCATCGATACTCAATTCAGAACTTTATTGCCCTCCATAAAAGTATCTATTTGGTGTTTTCGGCTGGACCGACTGGACCGAGCAATTCGAACAAAAAGGTATCCTCCGTGCATCCCTCAGAATTTCTCAGTATACGTGAAACGTTGTACGTTTCAGGGTCCAATTACGTACGGATTGCCGACCGGCATCGTACGCACACACAATTCCAAAGACGTTGCGCATCCCTTTCTTTTCCTTTTTATCTTGATTTCTATCGTCCATAGTGAAACATGCCTAAATATAATACACACTGCTCTTGAGGTTATATTTGTATGTATCCATGAAAAAGCATTTTTTAAGTTTGTCGTGAAGTTTATCCTTGAATACGTTGAGAATTTTAGTTTATACCATTTCAGACGATTTTGTCAGTTCTATGTCGTAAATCGTAGCTAGTAAGAGAAAAGATTGAAAATCAAATTTTTATCGTTCAGACTAGATATTTATACTATTAACTGGAAATTTAGAATCACTATCTTTTCTTTTATTTATATTGAATCTTTTTTATTATTATTAATGTAAAAATAATGTTACAGACATTAATAATTTTTTTATTTAATTTGATAGATTCTTGATAACAGAATTTTATATGATGAAACTTTAATTTTAATTTTAATTTAAATATTTTTTAAGTAAATTTATATTTGAATTTTATAAAATTGGTTATTGATTTCAAACAGTTAACCAATAATGTTATGTATTTAATTATATATTTTAAAATTATAACAAAAATTAATTTAATTAATCATATTCGTTTCTTTTATTTTCAGGTTATATATCGCGATCATCATGTCATAGTAATATTTTTATATTTTATAGAATATCATATTTGAAAAGAATAAGAAAAATACTTTTTACTAAAAAAAAAAGATATTAATGAATTTGAAATTGATGAAATTAAGTTTAATAAAATATAATTGTGTCAATTTTTTAATAATATAGAAATTAATGCAATAATTATTTTTATGTATTTGTAAGAAATTGATCAAAAAATAGCATTTAATGCGAATAGTGAAAGTTCTTAATATAAATTGGAATAATTTTAATATAATTCATTACAATCGTAAATATAATTGTCAAAATACTTGGGAATATTAATACGAAGTTTGTGCGGCCATTTGTGATAATTTAAACATCCTTTTCATTATTTTCGTATTTATATTTTTATTTCTAACAAATTACGCAGTTTCCTTTAGTCTTGATATTTTAATTTTATTGAATTTATTTCTAAAATTTTTTTTTTCGTTTTTTAATTCTTTTATTTTTTTTATTTTCAATTATTAAATATATTAATATATGCGAATTTGAAGCAAGAATTTCATTTTTCTCGAATATTTATTCTTATTTCTGTTTACTTTTTTCTAGCATCTAATATTGGGAATAACTTTTATAATGTTTTTATAAATGTTTACAATAAAATTATGGATAACTGTATGTTTAATACTTATTCATCTATCTTTTTAGGAAAATATTCGAAATATATCCATCTGTGATGTTTCTTATTGACCTATTATTTCTTCTAATGAAATGAATTAAATATTAAAAATAGTGAAAAATTTTGATGAATTTTTATGAATAAAACTTAAAAAATATGATGACGATTGAATATAATACAAATAAGGATATACAAGATTGTACGATAATAAGGGATAATGTTTTCCGGAACCAAGGATCCATTAAAAAGTTTTTTTTTATGAAAAATATTCATATACGGTATTCATAACAATATAAAATAAAATATAAAAGTAATTAGAAAGAATATTTATTAAAAAATATAATAACGCAATTAATAGATCACTTTTTTGATCATGAAAATATATATATAATAATCTGAATTACGATACACAAATTTCTCGATAAGCGCAATAATTAATCAATCTTTTTAGCTAAGCACGTGTGACTGAAATGTGAAAAAGTTTCTAAATATGAAAAATATTTTTATCTACTTGACAACTTTTACAAGTAAAGATTTGGTAGCATTTCAATTATCAAAGATGGTTAATATCTGGCATTAGGTGCCTATCCAACATGTCGCTTAGCATTAGTGGAACTTCTGCACCGTTACATTCTAACACTATCATCTGACAAAAATAAAATTTTATAGAAAGGTAAAAAACAATTATTTCAACTTGGCTTTTTAAATTATTTCGAATTTATTAGAAATTTATAAGTTAGCTTAATCTGATTTCAGTTAATTTGATCAAATATGAAAATAATAAAATTAAATTTTTTTATAAATTCTGATACATAAAATCAGAATCAAGGTATCAACATTATAAAATGAACTGAAAAAAATTATAGGAAAGAAATCTGATAGAATAAAAAGAAATAAGAAAAGGAAAACAAATAGATATTTATAGAAAAAGTGAAAAAAGAAAAATAGAAGAAAAAAAATGAGAAGATCAGAGGAGAGGAAACTATGTAGAGAGAACTTGGTTGCGTGTAAACAGCGGAAGTTACTTTCAGGGGATAAAGAGAGACTGGGGTCGGACATCGATCTGGTAGTTAAGTTCAGGGCTCTCAAGGGACTCGTTGCTACCTTCGCAGCTTCGTCTCCTCCTCTTGCTTTATTTGCACCACTCTTTGTGTGTATTCTGCAGATACATGTTGGCATCGGTATCGTTTCCTTGCCATTCGCATAAACCGCATTACACGTTTTTACATTCGTATTTATGTACAATTTAACGAGAGCCATTCGAGCGACCGTCGCGTTGCTCGAGATGAAACGAAAAATTTTTCTATCTCGAAGAAATCGCAAACAAATCGAAAGATCGTAAATGTTATTACTATTCTGCGTTACTATTCTATAGATTTAATCGTATTTCATGATAGTATCTCGATAAATTTTAATAGAATTTTAATAGTTATTGCTTGTCGATTTTTAGTAATTAAGAATATTGTTATGAATTATGGCATCATAAACTTATTTACTATATTTAGATTTAATTATTAATCATATTTCACGATCGAATCTTGCCAAATTTTGATTAATAATTATTATCGATAATTTTCAGTAATTGAAAATATTGTGTACAATTCTATAGATTGATAAAATTTGATAATATGATAAATTATATTTAGTAATGTTTTTATGAAATAGGAATATTATCACTTTATGCTTAAATTTTTATTTATAGTAATTTTTAATAATTTTAATATTTTAATAATAATTTTAACGAATTAAATTATATTACAATTTAATTTTTAAATTATGTATATTAGGATTCGTATAGGATAATAAAGAGCTAAAGGATTATTATTAAATATAATGCTATCTATTTTGATCACATATCAGAATAATGCTAAATTTAATGATTATGTAACATTTACACTATTATATTATTAATTTGTTACAATAATAATTTACAAATTGTAATTATATATATATATATATATATATATATATGTATATATATATATGTATATATATACACAATATATCCAATCATATACAATTCACATGCACATTTTCATTCAACATTTTCATTCATTTATATCTTCATCTATAATAACATTATAATTGCAGTCTATGTATAATATTTAATTAATAACTACGCTTTCAAGGCACGCATAAAACATCAGCAATTTTTTTTTATTTTTTTCCGTCTTATTAACAATAGCGTCATCGTTCATTTCTTTTATTGTCGATTAAAATTCGAAATTTCCATGATCGAAGTTGTTGCAATATATATACACATAAAACATGTTAGAATTATAAAAAAGATTAAAAAGAAAAATGAGTTTAAACGAGAAAATTGAGAATCATAATAAAATAGAATCATAATAAAAGTCGATGATTAAAATTAATAAGTCTAAGAAAAAAAATTACATAAAAACGATACGTTCTATCTTTCATGCTCTTTTGAGGCTTATTATAAATATATATATTTATACAAAATGTTAACATATTCGTGGGATATCTTGAAGGGATAATTTTAGAAGTCAAAAAATAAACACAAAAATCGATGATGAAGTACAAGATGAAGTTTTTAGAAACAATTTAAAAGCACATTAAATAATATGAAATAAACTGATATAGCTTTATTTCCATTATATTATTGCCTAATTGTTTCTGTAATTTAATAAAAATTACAAATAAAAAATTCTTAAATAAATAAATAAATATCAACACTTTCTATAGTAATTTTCGCGTTTGTTTTGTCTTCTAAAATCAACTTTAAAATCAACTAAAAAGTGTCCCCCGAATATATTAATAGTCTATATAAATGGAATATTTATTATAAATATTTATTTATATAAAAGTAATTTCATATTTTTCTCTCGAGGCGATTTCAATGACTGTATTTAAAGAAAGATATATCGCATTTTTCGATAAAAAATGCATTATGATGTTATAAATTTTTACTAATTTTTCAATAGAATTTGCTAAAGTTAGTATATAATTGCACAACTTTCTTTTAATTTCCTATTAATAGATAGATAGACGTAAAAATTGACAATGATAGTATTGCAACCAGATAATACAATAAAATTACTCATCGTAAATTATAAAAATTATATTTTTATAATTTATAAAGAATAATTTTGTAAACGGATCCTTAGAAATAATTATCATAATATACATTATATTATTTAAGAAATAATTACATATGTACATTTCGATGTTTGTATCTTTAACATATAACTACGAATTTTTCTTTATATAACATATTCAATAGAACCTTGAATCAATCTTATTTAAACTTAAATTATCGATAATTAGACAATAAATTATTTAATTATGAACGAAGAAAAAATATAATTAATTAATAGGAGTAATTATGGAAAGCTATTTTCACGAGTCCTCAAATTATCGTGAGATCATATATCACAATATATATCTATTTCTACTTTTCTTTTTCTTATTCTATCAATATCATTCTTTCTGTATTGCATATATTATGACGGAAAAAAATGCTTATGGTCAGTCATGATTGGACCAAGTTACTGATTGTTCAGGTCATAGATTGTTTGGCATGGATTGCGTCTGTGGGGCTTGCAAAGTAGAGGGTGCGTGGTTCAAACTAAACATCTGTGAACTATGACCCAGGGAAGATGAGCTACCGTTGTGCATCAATCCACCCAGCATTCCTCCAAGTGAGAGACTCGCCATTGCACCGCTCGCGCTTGTAACACTTTCTGCTGCCTTCAACTCTCTTTCTCTTTCCATCTCTTCCCGTTTTTTCATCTGTTTGCGTTCTTTTGCCCGACGATTTTGAAACCAGATCTTCACCTATAACATGATCAACGAAACATTCTCTTTGTAAATAAAAATCAAAAATTTGAAAAGTATAATGTATAAGCATAAAATTTTAGATTTATTAATATTACAATCAAATGAATTTTGCATGAGGAGAATTTTTTAGAAGTTTTAATAAATTTTAGATGATTTAATAATGAAAGAAGAAATAATTTTCAAATAATTTGATGAATAATAATATTTTAATAAAGAAGAATATTAGATGTTTTAAGAATAAAAGTAATTTTCACGAATAATTTATGGAATTATAAATATCGAAAGTGAATTATCAATTATTTCGATTTTTTTCATGTATATTGTCTAAAAATCTTCCTTTTTATTTATCGTTTTCTACAACTTATATTTCGTATTAATAGGCACATGCTTTGTAAATTAATAGATATATGTTTTCGATATACTCACTTGTCGTTCAGAGAGCGAAAGACTGAGTGCAAGTTCGGCCTTACGGCGGATTGTGATATAACGACTATAATGAAATTCCTTCTCAAGCTCCAGTCTCTGATGATCTGTATAGACCACTCTATATTTATCTTTTGTTCTGGTTTTTCCTGCAAAAAAAAAGAAAAAAGAAAATAGAAAACGAAGATAACAACTGACGTTATTACACATTTAATATCTGCTTCCCTAATTCTCTTGTCAATAACGTGTTTAACAGAGATAACGCTTTTGACGATCGTACTCGTAGACACATCTCGAACAAAAAGGAATTAATAAAGTAAGTAAAACGAGATTTAAAAAATGTTCAATACATGCAACAACGTGTGAATCCATACGAACGATAAATCATGACAAAAAAATAAATAGATACTAATCATTATGTAAATAAATATCTATAATATCTATTAAAATATTATTAAATTAAGGGAACTGAAATATGCGTAATTACTCTGATATCAATTATTAATAACTTATCTATATTAATCGAGAATTATTTATAGAAACAAAAGAAAAAGAAAAATATCAACTCTCTCGAAGTTTTCACGGGGAGAAAGGTGAAGAAAATAGCATGGAATATTTCTTCGCGGATTACGAAGTTCGATGGAGAAAATAGCAAAAGAGAAGCCGACAAGTTGATGTCGATGATAGTGTGAATTCAACGTGGCACTTGAAATGATTGTAATAACAGTATGAAATACAAAATGAGAAAAGGATTGAACACAGTGAAAGAGAATAAGAGAAAGAGGCCAATGGTTGGGAATGGGACGGAACGGGAGAAAGGAAAACGATTAGATAAGACCAGGCCGGCAAGATCAAAGGCGTGCACGTTAATCCACCACTCCTCGATAACAGTGCTCGAGGCCTTCGAGACATCACGAATAAGCTTCGACCTTAGACTTTTTCGATGGTATATAAGTTGAATTCAGCATGGCTGGCACAAAATCATCGAGATTACAGAGAATTTGTGCCAAAGAGAAATCGATTTCAATTAAAGAGACGTCCTTGATAAATATGACAACTTTGTGTTTCGAGTTTTTCTCGTAATATTTTAGCATTTCTGTTTTATCATTAAGCTGTATTAAAGTAGGTATTTAATAGAGATTTGACTATTGCAAACGAATGAGATTCAGAAGATATTTATCGTGTCTGTTCAAATATATTATATGTTGAATTTTGTCCAGATTATAGTTGAACATCGAAACATCGAACATTTTTAACTTTTCACGTCGACGATTATGCTAAAACGAAATAACGTTAAACGAAATAAATTATTGCAAATATAAAATAAATTATGTTTATCGATATCGAATATGGATAAAATTTAATGAGACATTTTGCAAAATTGCGAATATAATTACGAATTCTATGAATTTCATTTTATTTTATTTTTTCAACAAGAAACTTCGTAAAATTTAAAAATAATACATATCATCCTTCAAGTTAATATCATCGAGAATTCACTCATGATATGTTCGAATATCATTTCATTTTCAACATTGTTCAGAACCACAAATATTTGTCATATTAAACACGATCCTTGCTGAAAACCGATGGATATAAACAAATGTAAAACATTAAATCTTATCGACAGACGTTTTATCTTAGAAGATTGTCATCAGAAACAAAAACAAAAAAAATTCCAAATTTTATGCGGTGTTACATCTTAATTACAAATCTTCCTATGCACGATGTAAGTATTTGTACATATTTTAAGTAAAATCCCTTGAAAGATTTTATTCAATAAGTTGTTAAAACGTAACGTCTTTGGTCAATTAAATGTTATAAGAAAAACATGAAACTAAATAAATGGATAAAAGATATTAGAAAATATTAGAAAATAAAGATAACAAACGAGATCTGCAGAACGTAGGAATTAATCTGTGTCGAATCATAAACCGATTTCTTTCGTGGCACTCCGATTTTTAACTGTTCAAGTTGTACCACTTGAACTTTTATATATCCGAAAAAGTCTATCGGAATCCCAACGGAGAATGTTGTTTGAAGGGGAGAATAGTCGGTTTTTCGATATAAGAAACGCGTAGTTGTGTGAGTCGGCAAGGATTACCGTCGGTCTTTTTCATCTTTCTGATATCGAAACTCGCACCTACGATTATCCGGTTCTGGTTCCTTGTCAACACTCGATCTACTAGTACTTTGAATAGCGTAATTGTTACACCAGGTCAGTCAAGAGTATATATATATATAAAATATAAGAGGAAAATATTTTCTTTAAATTTTACATTTCAAATGATATTCATCATTATTTAATTATTTCTCGAAAATTATTCACGAAAATTGTGTAACTCGTATTATAACAAGAACTCCTTCGATAAGAAAAAAACAACGTAATACCCATGAATGTAAATTGTCAGCACGGTGTGTATGTACTACAAATGGAAGAATTTGAGCATTACATAGAAATATCGTGCGATATTTGTTCAGAGATTACAAAGAAACTTCTTTCGAAATACCTGTCTTAGCATCAAATGTATTCTGTCGTTAAAAATCAACATACTCGTAAAAGAATCCAACGCGAGATCAACCCTAATTTTTACATGGAAAATCTTCCATAACGCATCGAATTGGTAGAAAATATATGTCGACTTTTTTTATCTGTGCAGCAATTTCAAATAAATATCTCAAAAAGTCAAAAACATAGTGTATTATATTATGTTAAACATATAACTTTTACACTTTTGCATTTACGCAAATTTTAAATGATTAATCTTACTAGATACTTAACTATTTTCCTGTACGTATAAAATCATTATTAGACATCACGATTCTTGAACTTTAATTAACCAAATCCGTACCACGATTTCGTTCTTCGATATTTTGATAGAACAAGAGAGATGAATATTTTGCGTACGATACAGTAGAAAAGTGAGACAGAGGAGAAGCGAGCAAGGGAGCAAAGAAACAGGACTCTTGGGGCTCGTTGCCACCCCATTATAGCATTTGCTCTTCCATTTCGCATAGCGAAATGGTGAAAGCGCGTGCCCCGTTTTTCCTGCCACTCTCCACCGATGTTCTCGACTACTCTCTGTCACCCTCTTAACCGCGATCCCCATACTCCTCCGCTTTAACCGATGCTTCTGGATCCGCTCGGGTACCATTCGTCAGTGGCATTACCTCTATTGTACCGTGCAACATTTGTATATTGCATATCAAATATCGGACACTCCTTCCTTGATTAAACTTGTTACGTATGAGATTTTTCTGTTAATTTAGTTAGCACATTGTTCAACTCTAGAAAAAAAAACTATGGAAAGCAATATCTATTGAAAAAATAATAGAATTTAACTATTGCTTCAACTACTAAGCAACAAGCAACAACAATTATTAGCAATTAATTTTTTAGCAAAATATTATATTTTACTATTATTTAACATTTTACATTTTTTTTTGCAGGTAATATCATCGATTGGACAGTATAAGTTGTAATTGCAAAAGTAAAGATGACTTTAGATAAAAAAAATTCTTTGGGCCAAATTTCTCTCTCGAGTTCAATTTATTCCGTTTGCATGAAAGATTAAATTTTTATACCTAAATCTAAGTTTAATGATCGAGTAAAAACCGTGAAATCATAATGCAATGAAAATAATAGTTATACACTTAAAATTCCTTGACACACATGTCTCGCTTTTTCGCACATGAAGATCAAAATCAAAGAGTAAAACGCAATATACATAGTTTTCTGAATCGTAGAAATCGTTATCTGTAAGTATGAGATATTTATCTTCGATAGCAGCACTTACGCGTGTCACAGCGGTACCATAGACACTAACGTTTACAAAAATCTGATTCCACTGATCCCACGAATTTAATTGAATTGCAATCTCGAGTGCTTCGCGGGTATGTTTCGTAGTATGAATACGTAATACAATGATCCTCCCAACATTTAAAATTACAACGTTTAAAAGTACCAGAATGCAAATTGCAAATTAAAGTCAAAAGATGAGTAATAAATAACGACAGCAAATCCGGAAACAATCCATGTTTCTGGGCAAAAGAAACGCAAGAAACAATACAGGGGATTAAAATATCATCGATCCTTTAGACACTCTAAGTGTCGAGAAAAATCCCTACTTTGACCCTCATCTTATTATTATATTATCGTGCAAAGAAGTTTAAGAGTCGGTTCTTAAGTTGTGGCCAAAACCGAGCAAAATAATGTAAGGAGTCAGGTAAGAGAAGAAATGAAGAAATTCGATACCATTTACTGGACTTTAAAGATGTTTTTCTTTTAAAGGGATTAAAGATTAAAATGAATGCCAAATGGTAAGTCTCCCGTCGATTTTAACTGGTGACTAACTTTACTGTTGGCAAAACAAATCGTTCGAAAATATTTTACGATATAATTATATAGATTGATGTTGAATAAACTTGATAATTTCTTTTTTGGCGCGATAAAATTAGTATACGGTTAAAACTAGTCTAATAGAATTTTTGAGTAAATGATTAAATGATTTTTCAAATACTTTTATTATATGACATTAAATTTTTTAAGATTTATATGATCTGTTTTAGAAAAAGAGTAGATGTAAATTCTACGTTAAACTATTAAAAAATTAGAGCTACTTAAATATTTTATATTTCTAATAAAATGATCATATAATTTTGTACGAATATTTCATCATAACTATTATCTTATTATCTTTTGAAGTGATAACTAAATCAAATTTCTTTTCATCCTTCTGTAAAGATTATTACTATTAAAAATATTATTATCCGATCGTTCACCAATCTTTTCACGATGCAACTAAAATGGCTTCAGTAATAAAGTCCGGAGAAATCGCGAATATACCTATTTCTATCGAAGAATCGAGCAAACGCGGTCGTTTCGAAGGACTAATAATTACGAGGAAAAATCGCACATCGACAGGAATATGCGAATACCCGCCACGAAATTGTAATACGTATTCTGAATGCGAGAGTCGTCTTTATACGAGGCAACGGCTGCCTGCAATATAACCATAAAATGCAGATAATAGCCGCTAGAAGGTATTGAAGGGTCGCACGGTTGTGAAACCGTAGAAAAAAGAAAAGAACAGGATGAAATTGAGCAGCAAGAAGAAAACAGGATAGAGCTTTGATGCTCGTCGTTCTGACGTCTTCAACGATTATTCCGTATACATGCTACTACTAACTGTATTGTCTATATTTGAATTGTTGTCAGTTGAAAATAAGGACCTTTTGTGTTTATATTTCCGTAGACAATTTGAATACGACGGTTTAAAATTAATAGTTTTATGTTTATATACGAGAAGAAGACAGTAGATACGAAAATAAACTAGAATAGATGTTGAGAATTTTTTTCGAATTTTTTTGAAACTGATTGTTGATACTAATAATTCAAATTAATCAATGATTCAATATAAAATTAATTAAGAAATTAAAAATTATTTCAATCTTAATATCATTTCTATCTCGTTAACATCATGCAATTAAAATTTGACAATATATATATGAAAAATAATTGAAGAAAATTGAGAAATATTTGAAATATTTAGAAAAACGTTTATCGTGCTACATAGAGCATCGTCATATATTATATTCATATTATTGGTAAAATAATTTCTAAACAATAAATAAAATTATATAAAACATGCTGAAATTATATAAAACGAGCTTCAAAATACAAAATGATTAACTGATAATTGCTTCAATATAATTTATAATTGTAGCATGCAAATTATAAAATATGCGAGAATGACACATATCTATATGCATTCATATATATAAACATCTATTTAAATTAAAATAATATAAAATAGCAAACGATATATTATCGTACCAATACTATCAATGATGCAGACTTCATGAACCGTTGAATCTGCATTGTTGTTTATTGTTATGTTGCATGCTGCAATGATAGAAAATATATGACTAAATAATTAAATATTTTTAATCGCGATATAAATATCCTTGGAATCCTAATTAATAGAAAATAATCGAATAATATCGATTCATCAATTATATCGAATCAAAGTTTTATCTTTGGAATCTAACTATTAAAATTATTGAGATGTAGTATCTAAATTTTCTTTTATAAATTTCTAATAATTTATTTCGTTCTTCTTTATCTATCAATTTTCTATAAACATTATATTTTCTTCAATTCGAAATTACATCGTAATTTTCTAAGCCATAAATCTTTTCTATCGTAAATAGATATAGTACTATAATAGGAAGTTCAAACGATAAATTAATTAAGAAATCGAAAAATTTAACCGAAATAATTAAAATCCATAATATCGTAAATCAAGAAATATTAATTTCAATATAAAAATTTATAATTTTAAATATAATTTTAAAATATGAATTCTCAAAATTTCTATTCTATTGGCTTGACCTTTTGTTTATTGAATATACGTATCTATATAAAACTTTTATTCGTTACTTGTTTACTAAATTTTTTTTATATAATCTAGTTTGAAATTTTAAAATTCAATTCAATAACATTACTAAAATGTTTTCATTTTAATAAATTGTAAATAAGTTTTTAACGAAATCTTTTGTCATTACATGATTACTGAAACCACCATGACACGAAAGAGTAGCATTCCTGCTTTCGTTGGTCCGGTTGAAAATCGGGGCGACAGCAAGAGAGGACGGAGATTATCTCACAAATATTTGAGAGCAATTAGATGTTTGCTCGTCTGTTACCGTGTTTACATTGTTCTTCGTATCTAGACCGCAGACGTGTTTGTAACCGTGCACGATGTACACCAAGTTCTCCATGGTTATTTCATTTAAATTTTCTTTCATTTATCCGTATATTCGTATAATTAATCAATTTATAATGTTATAAAATTTAATTAATTAATAATTAATAAAAATTTAATTATGTCGAATTTATATTTTTTGTATTATAAAATTTCTTAACAAGAAAAATTCGGCTCAAGAAGAAATTCAAAACATCTTCAAAATATTAAAATTAATCTACAAGATATATACATCAAAAATCAATGTAAGTAGATATACATATTATTTTGAATTTTTTGTTGTAAACAAAAAAACATCGTATTAGTGGACTTAGAAAACTAACGTTCTGCAAAAATTAACGTTGAAATATATTTCAAAGCAAGCAGATACTTTAATAATTATAAAATACGACGTAATAGTTGAAATAAAATTTATTAAGAATATTTCAATCGTTTCTTCGTATATCTATTCATCAATTTCACAGGAATAATATGATTAAAAAAATAAAATTATGTATAAAGTACGCAGAAATGGAAAGATTTTGTGATACGATCGCGACTCCTTAACGCGGACATTTTATCGGTATTAAGAAATTTTCGGTAATATTTTAATGTGGCAATTAGAATTCCGTTCAAAGAATTTTTTTTTTTTTACATGAACGAATCATGAGCAAAATAATTACGCTAAAATAATTATGTAATTTATCAATTTATATATTTATATATTTTTCAAATCGAAAAATTGATTTCTTATACCATTAACGTTGTATAAATACGATTGATGTCGGATTTTATACATCGAAAAGAGCATTAAGATTTTAACGAATGATTTTGTAAAATTTTGTTATCTATCGTTTTCTTTTCATTACGTACTTATATCAATCTAACGAATTTAACAATTCGGATCTTTACACGAATTTTATGGGCAAAAAAAAAAATAATTTCGTATCTACATCCATTTCCATTTCTATTATCTCGTCATATGTAGATTAAAATTTAACCGATAATGATTTCATAGAATATTATTTGGGATTTATTTGTATTTAGAGTTTAAAATTTGATTTAGAATTTAAATAAAATAGAATATCAGTAAATCGAATGATTTAATTATATTAGATAGATACATTGAAAATTATGAAAGTAACATTATATATATTTTTCGTTTCTCTATTTGATTTACTAATTCGAGTTTAAAGTAATATTTGGTGCAATTCTTGATGACTTTGATGAATATCTCGACATAATATATCTTACAGATCAGTATTATCAATATTATCAATTATTAGTTATGTATTATTAGTTAAATGTAAAAGAAAAGAAAACTGAACTTCAATTTTCAGACCTTGAACTGAAGAAAAAATAGAATGATCTTATAGAATATTAGTATATCTTGTAAATATGAACATATTTGCTTTTTAAATTTTATTTTTTGTTCTATCGCGTTATTTGTTAGATACTACATCATTATATCGATATCAAATTATTTATTTATTGCAATTCATGGTTTCAAATTTTTAGCGAAAATTTGATCAAAAAAGTTGATTCAAAAAACTATCATAACGAGACTATTACGATAATTTTTTAATTTAATAAGAAATATTAAATAATTATATTAGTAATTATAAAAATTGAATAATTTTTTTCTTATTTACCTGGATTAGGCTGGCTCTGGTATGATGTCTTCTTCATCCATTCGTATGGACTTCTAACCTGAGCTGGTCTCGGTGTTGTGCTGTTATGCACATTGGTGTTGGTGTTGCTCACGCTGCTATGATGTACCATATTATTGCTATTGTTGTTTCTGTTGTTAGGTGAAATACTATTGTTGCTATTATTAGTCGGTGGAGAAGTTGGATTGCTGGAATTGCTCATTTCGCTTCCGCTGATGGTGTTTGGCGGACTTGTCTCTCCAGCTCCAACCCCTGTGTTTGCTTCATCGCCGGTCCAATCTGTCACTCCGCTTACTTGCGACTGTTGGTATACCGGCTGATGATGCTGGTATTGGAGGTGTGTGTACGCGTGAGCATGATGTGACCAGCTCGGTAGAACCTCCGCCGGATCCAAATACTGCTGTCCAGCAGCCTGGTGGTGTACTCCGTGCGGATGTCCATGGTACCCGTACCAGTATTGTTGGCTACCGTCGGCAACAGATGAATTATTCGCGTGCTGTTGCGTCTGTTGCACTTGAGTTTGTTGCATCTGTTGCCCTAATGGTTGTTGGCCAACAATCGGTTGCTGTTGCCGGTACATTGCGAACGGAGTGTAATAAGACATCATACCGAGCCCGCTGATGTCCGCCATTGAGGTAAGATGATATTAAGCACTTGTACTATATAAATATATATATATATTTATGCCTATCACTAGGCTGTATTAATAAATATCCCAGCTTATCAACGAAGCTGTATTAATAAATATCCAGCTTATGAAGCTGTCGTCAATATAAAAATATTATTAATTGGTCAAATCTTTTACTATTAATTTAATCTTGTGGTTTAAAAGTCTATTTCTATTATTTTTATGGAGCACTGAGAAGAATCGAGAAATATTAACACTTGAGTATATATTTTATATATTTAGCGAAGAGGCTATTTTCCGAAGTGGAATGATGCACGCACGGATTCCCGGGATGCACTACACAGAACGAATGGTACTGGTCATTAGTTAGATGACCGTTGAACACCCGGGATCTTATTGAGATCTTGGTTACGACTGCTTTCTGATTTGTGACCAACGAGTGAGGATGCGACGACTTTACTTAAATAGCAAAGTCCGCCTACAGCGTGCTTTTGTCCCCACCACGCGGTCACTTTTCCGCCAATCGTCATTCGACTCTCCACTCTCCAACCGTAATGGCCGTTCGACCATCGTCCCGACGCCCAAACATGCCGCTATTCGATAAAATACGCGCAGAAGGCGGTCCTCACGCCTCCGAAAACTCGATTCCCATGTAAAAGATGCGAAATAGACAATATTTTTCCCGCTTATCGCACTTTACCAGCACTTGTCCACGTTATGAAAATATATCTTCTGTCTTTGTGTGTTTACATGACCTCTACTTCTAGTGGGAGAATTCTTTTAATTGCATGCAAGAAAGTTAAAATTGTTAGATTTGACTTTCACGATATTATTTTTAGTATAGTATAATTTTAATTTTTAATAATTTTTTTACATTTTGCTTTCCCAAATAATGCTTTCTTATTAATTGAGAAATTTTTTAATATAACTTTTTTAATTTTTAAGTTAGTTTTAGTTTTTTTAATCATATAAATGTATACAACAAAATTGTTACCTTGAAAGTTTGTTATTATGTAGTTATATCACAGTTAATTTCGTTAAATATCATCAAAATATCATATAAATTAAATAACATCATGGTTCTAATCACTTTTAAAGCATCATAATCAACAATTTCGTATTGTGAAAATGAAAAATACAAAATTTAGAAGAAATTTATATAATCAATTCCATGCAAAAAAATAATAGAAAAAAATACATTTATAGTACCTTAAATTTTAATTTTATTTTATTTTTATGAATTGAAATATTTTAAAATTTAAGTGATTATATTATTACAGTAAATATTATAATTGTGAACGATAATATTGAATTATTATATTATTTTATTTAATATTACATGTAAATAAGTATATTTAAATAGTTGATATTTCTGAGCTATATATTTTTGAGTTATATATATTGATGTATGGATGGGAAACGCGTTCGTTGCACCTAGCCAACAAATTAGTATGATATTTTATTGCGTGGTCGTAACAAAATCATATATAATTAAGAATGTATAACAATTATAAATTGCAACAGCTCGGTTCATAAATCACCTCGCTGTGAAAATGATTTAAAGCTAAAAACTTGAATTTGCCGCGAGTATGATTAAGATCGATCATCATCGTTTATTACGTTTACATAACCATTAAATGACAATTAAACATTTGCGCATAATGATTGCACGGACAATCTATATTCAAACTATTTTCAACAATAATATAGATATCCCTTGCTTATCAGTATATTCTATATTTGTTTCCAGTGACTTGAAACTTGTGTTCTTTACGTTTCATTCGTGTATAAGAATATATGTATACACATAAATATACATTTTTCTTAAAATTAATTTAAGCTATATAATTTACTAATAAAATTTATAAACGTAGATATCATATCATTTAAATATATTTTGGAAATTAATTTAAACGCATCATATTGTATTACTTTTATTGGAAATTTTATTAAATGATAAAAAATGATTGATAAAAGAATTTGAAAATCTAGTAAAATTTTTTTGTAAGTTTTTGCAAATACATTTAAAAAATTATCTTTTACTTCTAAATTAATAATAATAATAATAAATTAATAATAAGAATAATAAAAATATGTATATATTATATGATTTTATATCGTTTTATGACTTATAATTAAATTCAAATTATCTACTTTCTGTCAAAATATATAAACATATGTAAATATATTCTTTTTCAATCTAAATTCAATTAAATTTGATTTGATAATATATTAAAAGTTGATTTTTTTTTTTTTATCTATATCAAGTATATTTCCAGAAATAAGATAAGAGAGTTTCAATAAAAATATCTAAGTACTTACTTATTTACATATATTTGATTAAAATATCGATTTTAAATATTTCTAAAATTAATTTTCTAAAATAGATGAGTAAATAAGTATTTTATAAACTGATTATAATCTAAGTAAATTTTCCTTTTTACATTTCTAATAGTAATTTATCCTACAAATAAATAATTTATCTTACAAATCTTTATTATACAAATTCCAATTATTTGTAAAATTATGGAATTATTTAAATATCAGTGTCTTTATTTAGATCATGAAATATTCAATTAAATTTTTATCGATTAAATTTTTATTTAAATCGAAAAAAATATTTATGAAGAAAATATTTCATGCTTCAGAGGCATATTTGTCTTGATATTCAAGGTCATAATGTATCACGGTCATAGTTTTCTTAAATAAGAATTTTTTTTCTATCATTTCTCATGACAAATTTTAATTCTCAGATAAAACAATTATTAATTTATAATAAATATGTTTTTATTCTTATTATATATTTTTCGATTTGATTTTCTGTTTCTGATTTAAAATAATATATATACTTATTTATCTACTATTAGATTGTTCATCTTTTCGTTTATTTCTTAAAATTTAATTATAAAAAAGTTGTAAAAAAAAAATCTATCCAACAATTCAAGATCAATCATCTATTCTATAATTTATTTTACAATCAAAATTAGAATCAAATCAAAATAATAAATTATTCATAGATTTTCGCGTTTATATTCGAGATATGAAAAATGATATATTTCGCCAATAATGATACGAAAAATGATGTGAATGTCAATAAAAATTCATATAAATATCATAAAAAATCACATCTGACGATGAGGCGTAAGGTAGATTACATTAGCTGTTTAGAAGGCAAAGATAATCTTTTGGTATAATGGCAGCTGGCATAGGCCCACCGACTGCGACGTGTGTCACAATATTGACTGGCATTGCTAGCGCTTACGGTCCCTAAGCTCCTTTCGTCCACCAGTTGGAAATGCTCCGCCTACGGATACCCGTTCCCTCTCTTTCATTCTTTCTTATCCTTTTTCCTGTACTTTTCCTTTTCTCCCTCCCTTTGGCCTTTGTGATTTTTTCCCGTTTACCGACCGGCATTTTCGACCTCCACTTTGCTCTTGTCCTCGTTTCTTCGTTGTAAATACACAAAAATAAATATGCAATGATTATCAATATCTTATAATTTTGTTTTATAAATTTTTTTTTATATTATAATTAATAATTTTTAGAGAAAACTATGAAAAATTGAATTTTAAATAATTGTTAAAAAATTAGATGCAATATTATTCTTTTGAAAAATTAATTAGAATTGAGACAAAGAAACAACAATTTTCTGATCAATTTTTATAGTTTTCTTTATAATTTTAGATATGATTATTGAAATATTTTTATTTTTTATGAATGATGAATATTTATGATGAAATACAATTACTTAGGTAGATATTTGTTTATATATAATTATTGAAATTCTATTTATTCTTCATATGTTTCTTTTTTTTTGTTTTTATGAATGATAAAGTACAATTATTTAGATAGATTTTTATTTATTTAATGAGATTTTAGATTATTTTATTTTAATTTTAATTATAATTATTATTTTTATATATAATATAAATTATAATTATAATTATTTTAATTTTAATTATTTTATTTTAATAAGATAAAGAGATTTATTCCAATAATTCGAAGAATATGAAATGGTGAAGTGTGTGCTCATAGAAAGTGATTGACTTTTTCCTTTTGCGGTTTTTTTTTCATTTACGTAATAATTTCTTTTTTCTACAATGATCAATGACGTAATAATGTGACAAAAGATATTTGTCATCGTGCCAATGATTAGTGAGACTAAAATAGTTTGTCAAAGTGTCATCGCAATACTTCTTGTAAAGATCCTTTTCTTCAATCCTGCTGTTCGGTACACAAGTTCATAGTAGCTGTAGTAAATTCCGTAATTATTCGGTTAGTTTACTATTTTGAAGATGCGAAAATGTTTACTGACAAGTAAATACACTAAAAAAAATCTTATCTTTCCAGTTACAAGTGATTTTTATCATTTTTTATCTAGTATCTAAAAATTTGACAAATGAAAAGATATTACCAAAAAAAAAAGAAAAAAAAAGAAAAAAAAAGAAAAAAAAAAGAAATGATGAAACGATTACGAATTATATTTTCAAATTTAATTTCAAAAAATAGAATAAAAATTTTATTAACTTTATTAACTTTTTGTCTTACTTTTCCTTCGTTATATCGATATTTAAGAAAAGAAAGTTTAAGAAAGTTTCAGTTTTTAGAAAAGTTTCTAGAAAATTCAAAAGGTGCACATTTTCTTCTGCCTTTTAAAAGTAATTTATTAAGGTTTAATTGTATGCACGCTTTGTAACTATTTTAGTAAATATATTTTAGAAAGTAGAAAATTTTTCATGAATATGTCAATATTTGAAAGAAAATTGATATGAATAACGGTACAGACGAAGGTCTGAATACTTCTGAAACTATTCTATTCTATACTATACTTACTATTTCAATTAGCAATATGTCCAAGTGCAAAATGTGATGGTATTTCGGAGGCAATTTGTCTCTATCCTTTGTCTGCATTATTCATCAGCCAATTTAAAGAAAATAATTACTTCATATTGTAATTTCTTATATTCAAAATATTTAAACCCAACCAACAGGTCATAACCTAATTGCCATAAAGACCTGCAAGAACCTTCTCTAAACAATACCAATGGTCTTGGTTCGTTTCTAATAATAAGTAAAATTTCTACTATTGTTATATTAGGTGCAATAAATATTCATAGAGTAATTATTTATGTATCTCTTTTATAAATTTTTATTATTTATGTCAATTTCTATAAATTTATATTAATTTTCGATGAACGAATAACATGTACAAACAGACATAAAATAATTTCTTGTGGAAAAATAAAATAAAATTTTTTCGTCAAAGACTTCATTTTCGAGAAAATCCAATTTGAAAATTTTTTGATCGAATATAATTTTCAATATGAATGAATTATCGATAAAAAATTATTCTACAAATGAAAATAGAAGTAAAAAAATGTAGAATTTTATTTTATTTAAAAAATAAGAATTTTAAAAATCATTGATCATATAATTTCTTATCTGTATATATCTGTTAATAATCTCGATTTTTTAAAAATAAAAATTTAAAGAATAAAATTTTTGAAAACATATTTTAAACATACTTAAGAATTTTATATTTATTATTATAATTTTATCATAATAAGTATTATTATATAACAATCATTAATATGTAATATTAATATTTTATAATTTTATGACAGTACTATTTATATATATACGCAATTATCCTTAGATCTATATTCTAGATAATATTTATAAAATATCTTTTTTTTATATTTTTCTCTAATATACATTGAAAATTACATAAATATTAAAAATTCGTTATAATTTATAGATAGTTACATGTTATTTTTATAAAAATTTAAAACGGACAACAGATATGTAAATATACAGTTCGTAGGTATATC